TGCCCTGTTATAATCTCTTCCCCTGTAGAGGCTTCTCCCCCCCCTGCTGAGTCTTCTCCCCCCCCCTGCTGAGTCTTCTCCCCCCCCTGCTATGGTCTAATCCAGAAATAGCTGATGGGTGGCATTGAGAACCAGTGTGTTAAAAGATACCAATTCCAGAGGCCTCAAGAGAAATAAAATAACAAAACACTGGTCCTTAAAGCAGCCAATAAAGTTGAACATATCACATCACCTGCATTCTGAGACATATACAGTACATTAACAATAGACTATGTACAGAAGTATTTACAAGTTAAATTAGCGAGTCGCACCAAGTGATTCGGTGAATGGAAACCTTCAGTCTACGTTACAGGGTTAGAGCCTATTCTAACAGCGCCGACCGCTCCCCAAGCCGTGCGCTCACAACGGAAATAACTGCCGGCCACCCTGTGTGTGAGATGGCAAAATCAGCACAAAGCCTCCTCTGCAGCCTCGCCAAGCCTACGGCTGTTTGAATATGGGGAGATTGGACTGGCCGAGGTGGTACGTCGCGTTTCCTCCGCAGTCTACGTACTGGTAGACTTCCTGCGAGAGCTGCTCGGGGTGCCCCAAGTATGAAATGGTGACTGTCACCCTGCGGAAGGGGGAAAGAAAATTGTTTTAAAAGATCCAAAATGCAATGCGATTTCTATGACGGACTACACACAACATGGTGAAGTATAAAGAACAAGCACAGAGTCCTCTCTTCATGGCCCCCAAAGCAGAGCAGTGATTACATCTTCTGAAATCCCATGTACAATATATAGATTTCTGTCTGCGGAGAACTGATCATCACACCTTTTATGAGCTCGTCAGACAGTCCCCACTCTTCTGGGAAAGCTTTCTACAAGATATTGGAGGGTCTGTGGGAATTTGTGCCCATTCAACCAGATCATTTGTGAGGTCAGGTACTGATGTTGGATGAGAAGACCTGACTCACAATTAGCTTTCCAATTCATCCCAAAGGTGTTCAGTAAGGTTGAGGTCAGGGCTCTGTTGGACACTCGAGTTCCTCCACACCAAATCCATCAAGCTATGTCTTTATGGAGCTGGCTTTGTGCACAGGGGACAGTCACGGTGGAACAGCAAAGGGCCTTCACCAAACTGTCTCAAATGTCTTTGTATGCTGTAGTATTACCTGTACCCTTCACTGGAAACACCCAGAGCCCATAATGCAGAGGAATGCCCACATAATTGTGCCCATAAAGTGCCAATGTCCTGGTCACGTGTCCATTAACATTTGGCCATATAGTCTATTACGTGTTAGTCAATTATACAATATCATAGTTAAGAGACATTTGGAACATATAATAAGCTATCAAACTGTTCAGGCGACCCAGTTACTGGCAGGTTCCTACATGGGGGGGCGGAGGGAGAGGAGAGAGAAAAGGTAGAAAGGGAGACAGAAAGAGGGAAGAGAGAGTAGAGGAAAGGTGAGAGAGAGGAGAGAGAGAGGGGAGAGAGAGAGAGGGGAGAGAGAGAGAGAGAGAGGGGA